TGGAAAGAGGAATAGCTCTAAAAACAAGAATTGAGTTTTTGTATTTTTCCAGGAGAGGAGGAGAGGAAAGGAAAGGTTCCTTATCGATACATCCTCCCTGTGGACATGGTTCGGGTTAGCCCTATTTAAATGATTTAGAATGGTTCGGGTTAGCCCTATTTAAATGATTTAGAATGGTTCGGGTTAGCCCTATTTAAATGATTTAGAATGGTTCGGGTTAGCCCTATTTAAATGATTTAGAATGGACTTCTCTGTTACTTCATGTTACAGGTTTATATCGTCTGTCGTTACATTTCTGTAAACAAGAAAGTCCCTTTGATTGGCGTCAATAAAGTGAACAAAATATGTTGTTTTTTTAACTATTTTAAACATATTGCTATTATGAGTGATTGAAGCTGTGTTTGTGGGAAGTCACCTTCTGCTCACACACACACACACACACACACACACACACACACACACACACACCACACACACACACACACACAAATAAATGTGTGTGAGGATTATTAAGCAGGATATTAATAAGCTTTTCCCTGTTATTTCAGGGGCACTGACCTGTGCAGTTTGATTAACACTTTTTGATGGTGGGATACATTTGAAAACTGCCAGACAACATATTAATGTGCAAAAAAGGAATTTCCAGGGATTTGATGTCTGTGTTTAATCTAAATAAAACGTGTTTGCATGTCTGATACAGTTTTATTCTTACAAACACATTTTGTTTGAAATTCAGATATTGTAGCGTTATGAAACTAACTGTGGTACAGAAAAGGACTTTTGTGATGCAGAGTTTTATAATCACTCATATTTAACAGGCAGACATTCAGATGAAGTAATTAGTGCATCATGTAGGGGAACACGCTGAACAGGCCGCCAGTCAATAGTTTATCAAGATATTCAAATGAAGGACTCTGGTGGTTTTGAAATATTAAAAACCACCTTTTAGTTTAAAAGCTAACTACCAAGCTTTTAAGTGATTTAAACCCCGTCAGTTAAAGAATGATTTCCAATCATATTTCCTAACTTCTATGATTTTGTAAACATGACGGTGGCGATTTTTAAAAGTAACACCAACATTGATGCGCTATAATATGAAAATCTGACAATCTGATTGTTGGGTAGATATTCAGAACACCAATGACTCCTCAGACGTCTCACTTATTGGGAAACCTTCTGTCAAGCACTGATTGGATGTTTTTACTTAAACCCAAGCTCAAAATAAAAACCAATGAACGTCCTCCATTGCTGTGACTATTTCATTATGTTTCTGAGCCTTTGTATCTCGAGAAAGTTAGTCAGGATTTCTTTTTTTTCTCCATGTCCCAACTAATCAATCCTCCAGCTGCAGCTGATCCAGAAGCTGCTGCTCCTGTTCTCACTAAAACCAGGAAGATAGAGACATAACAGCAGTTTTTAAAGTCCCTCCACTGGCTCCCTGTAGCTCAAAGAATAGATTTTAAAATACTGTTGTTAGTTTATAAATCACTGAACGGTTTAGCACCACAATACATCAAAGATCTGCTGTTGTTGTATCAACCTTCCAGACTCTCAGGTTCTGGTTCTGGTTCTGATCTGCATCCAGAACCAGAACCAAGAGAGGAGAAGCAGCTTTCAGCATCTATGCACCAAACATCTGGAACAAACTTCCAGAAAACTGTAAACAGCAGAAACCCTGACTTCCTTTAAATCTCAACTAAAAACCAGCTGATTAGTTTTATTAGAAATGTAATATGTAACAATGTGTTGTTTATTATATGACTTTGTGTTTATGATGTAAAGCACTTTGAAATGCCTTGCTGCTGAAATGTGCTATACTAATAAAACTTGATTTGATTTGATTTTGGACCGCTGTAGAAAAGAGAGTATTAGATAGGGTTTGAATTTCCCAATTTCTCTCCATGTGACAGTGTTTTCATAAAGGTAATGTCATTTTATTTATATAGCACATTTTCAGCAATAAGGCAATTCAAGGTGCTTTACTTGAATTAAAAGGAAACACAAACAAAATAACAAACCAAAGGAAAGAGCAAAAGAAGGAAAAAGAATCTGATAATGTTTATCTAATATATATAAACTAGGTACTCCTATTCAGGCTAGATAAGTATAAGCAAGTAGCCTCTGGTCTAATTCCTTTTCTTGATTGGAAAAATAGGAGTCCATCCCTCCATCCATCCATCATCTTCTGCTTATCCGGGTCGGGTCGCAGGGTCAGCAGCTTCAGAAGGGAGGCCCAGACTTCCCATTTCTTCCAGCTCTTCCAGGGGAATCCCAAGGCGTTCCCAGGCCAGCTCAGAGACATCGTCCCTCCAGCGTGTCCTGGGTCTTCCTCTCCTCCCGGTGGGACGTGTGCAGAACACCTCACCAGGGAGGCGTCCAGGAGGCATCCTGACCAGATGCCCGAGCATCAACTGGCTCCTCATGATGTGGAGGAGCAGCGGCTCTCCTCTGAGTCCCTCCAGGATGACCGAGCTTCTCTCTCTAAGGGAGAGTGCAGCCATCCTCTGGAGAAAACCCATTTCGGCTGCTTGTATCCGCGATCTCGTTCTTTCGGTCATGATCCAAAGCTCATGACCATAGATGAGGGAAGGAACGTAGATCGACCGGTAAATTGAGAGCTTCGATTTTTGACTCAGCGCTCCTTCACCACGACGGGCCGGTACAGCGCCCACTTCACGGCGGACGCTGCACCAATCCACCTGTTGATCTCCCTTTCCCTTCTTCCTTCGTTCATGAACAAGATCCCGAGATACTTGAACTCCTCCACTTGGGGCAGGACATCCCCCTTGACCCGGAGAAGACACTCTACCCTTTTCCGGCTAAAGACCATGGCTAAAGACCATGGCTAAACCATGGCTAAAGACCCTGGCTAAAGACCATGGCTAAAGACCATGGCTAAAGACCCTGGCTAAAGACCATGGCTAAAGACCATGGCTAAAGACCATGGCTAAAGACCATGGCTAAAGACCATGGCTAAAGACCATGGCTAAAGACCATGGCTAAAGACCATGGCTAAAGACCCTGGCTAAAGACCCTGGCTAAAGACCATGGCTAAAGACCATGGCTAAAGACCATGGCTAAAGACCATGGCTAAAGACCATGGCTAAAGACCATGGCTAAAGACCATGGCTAAAGACCCTGGCTAAAGACCATGGCTAAAGACCATGGCTAAAGACCATGGCTAAAGACCATGGCTAAAGACCATGGCTAAAGACCATGGCTAAAGACCATGGCTAAAGACCATGGCTAAAGACCATGGCTAAAGACCATGGCTAAAGACCATGGCTAAAGACCATGGCTAAAGACCCCGGCTAAAGACCATGGCTAAAGACCATGGCTAAAGACCATGGCTAAAGACCATGGCCTCAGACTGATCCTCATCCCGGCCGCTTCACACCGAGCTGCAAACCGCTCCAGTGAAACCTGCAGGTCACGACCCGATGGAGCCAACAGGACCACATCATCCGCAAAAAGCAGAGATGGATCCTAAGGTCACCAAATCGGATCCCCTCATCACCTCGGCTGCTCTACAGATTCTGTCCATGAAAGTAATGAACAGAATCGGTGACAAAGGGCAGCCCTGGCAGAGTCCAACCCTCACCGGGAACGAGCCCGACTTATTGCTGGCAATGCGGACCAGGCTCTGACATCGGTCATCCCGGGACCTGACAGCCCGTATCAAAGGACCCGGTACCCCAGACTCCCGGAGAACCCCCCGCAGGGACACAGTCTTCTCCAAGTCCACAAATACATGTGGACCGGTTGGGCGAACTCCCAGAACCCTCCAGGACCCTGCTGAGGGTGTAGAGCTGGTCCACTGTTCCACGACCAGAACCAGAACCACACTGCTCTGAGGATTTTATATTGTGTACAAATGTCAGACAACCCTTGGTTTGACCTTGATTGATTGATTATAATCTGTGAGGTTTACCAAGCAAAAGAACATTGATCCTTTGGCTAAATGAAATGTCAGTTCTTAAAGGTGCTAATATTTTTGACTCTTGTTAAAGAGTCAAAACTAATGGTTGTGGCAGTGTGGTGATCTGGGCTGTTTAAACCAAATTTCACCTCTTTGGGATAATCTGAATTTAAGCCCACTTCTGGAGGGCTTAATTGAGGTGTTTTGGCCATGGCGTGCTGTAAAACCAGGCCTGGCAGCGTGGGCAGGATTGGGGGGCATTTCCCATCCACAGAGTCTGCAGTGCCCCCCGACTGGAACCAGTTGTTTTTGTTGTTTTTTTACCTCAGAGTGGTCAACTTTCTGTTATTCCTATCTCTGTTTGATACAGGAGGGGCTTCAATATCTGTGCCTTGTGTGTCCCGCGCTTTTTTCAGCCCTTACAAAGTTTAATCCACTGTTAACGGGCCTTTAAATGCAACTTAGGTGCAGCTCCTGAACTGCACCTAAACTTTTCAAACCTAAACTTGGTTATTCTCAACTCATAGAAAAATATTTCAAACTATGTTGGATTTGTGAAACTTCAAGGAGTGACTCCAGGTCTCTTTGCATCTCAACCACATACGAACTGAACTGCTCCTCTGAAGTTTTCATTATTTTGCTGTTAGCTTTTTGTTTTCTCTCATAAAGAAATGCCGAAGGTAGTGAAAAATTAGCTGAAATTGCCTTGTATTGAAGTTTCATAAATCAGGTAAAAGTTTGTCAAATCACAAAGTTGGTTTTAAATATTCTGCTATTAGAACAGTCCAGTTCTGAAGAGTCTCAATGTTGTAGTTTTTTTAACTAAAATGGAAAAAATATGCTCAAGGTAAAGAAAAATGAGGTGCAATCATTTCCTGAACTGGAAACCAACTTCAGCTTAGTGTCATAAGAGTAGTTTTATTACACTGTATTTTTTATTGAGTAATGTTGTTATTGCTACTCTTACTTGAGTAGATTGATTTTACATTTAAAGACATCAGATGGGAAACATTTGATTCCTAGTTTTCTGCAGCAAATGAGCCTAATATTTATGCAAATTAGAGGATAGTGACATGTACAGAATGTGTAATTGTTTATATCCTTTTTTATTTTGTATTATGTTGCTGGGCTAGAGCACAGATGACATCCGGAGTTGTCTTTGCGAATTACAAAAGGTTTTATTTACCTTTCTAGAAAAGTCCGCCTGTCAACACTCGGTGCCTAACGCTCCCCAGCAGAACGGGGAAAAACAGTAACTGCCGAGCAAACAGCCGTTCCAGGAACACACCTCACAGCAACGCATTCACTGACATAACGGAAATATGAGTACCAAAGATTAATACACAAGACAGACACAAAACCAAGTTCAGAAGAAATTAAGAAACTACAATGAACAATGAATGAACTTATCATAAAGAAAACAGATTGGGTGGGGTACCTAATAAACTAATAAATTCGGTGTCTCTCACAATTAACAGTTATTTTATTTGACATGTTGCTTAAAGGTTTATTTACTCTGCCGCCCCAAAATAAGCCAGTGGCCCCTAGCTAATCTCCTCCAATATGACAGAATGCCAGCTGGTGGCTGCAGCTTCTGCTGACATTTTCTCCCAGCAACTGACATTTCTTCCTAGACTGTGTTGTCCTGTGGCTTTGAATGACTTCTCTCTGTGTTTTCTTTCAGGATAACATGGAGGAAGGTCAGGACTTTTCCCTCCATGGGAAGGCAGTAGTTAATGATGCTAATCTGAGTAAGTCTGATTGCCTGATCAAACCTCTTTTCTCCCTCCAAGCTGCTTGACCTTCCTGTTATCTCCAAGGTCGAGGACAGCAGGAAGTGTCCCGATCTTCTCCAGGCTTTCTGAAAATCCTTCAGGACTTTTCTTTGGGCTCTGTTTGCTGTTGCAACGCCAAACTTGTGACATGTCCTTTCCTCTTACCTGTAATTTTTGAGCTGTCATGATCGCTTTTGAGCCCAAACGATTTTATTCCTCAGCAGCTATGAGAGGCAATGGCAAAACCTCAAATTGCTCCCACATTCGCCAACATTATGTGCATACTGTTCAGGTTTCATAGTCAAGTCTACAGATTGTCTACATTTCTCTTGACAAATTCCTTCATTTCCCACAATCCTAGTGGATGCTAGCTAGTTAGCTGAGCTAGCTGAGTGTCTCGGCTGTTTCTCCTCCTGCAGGACAGACACTGCTCGCCTGTCTGAGCTGCACAGAGCGCTGCGCTCACACGTTGTCTTCATATTAACGGCTTGTTGTCACACGCAACATCGAGCTGTTTTCCAAAGCAACATGTTGTCTCTAGGTAACTAAAGGTAGCCTTTCCTGTCTATATCCCCCAGAATGCTGTGCAGTTCTGGGTCTGATTTTATCAGCAGTCTATCAGACGTATTTCTATCGATATTGATCAAGTGTTTATCACGATACGTATCGTCGTTTTATCGCCCAGTTCTAATGTGAGCAATGAAAGTCCATCCAATGACCAAATACAGTGTTAGCAGCAATGTTGGAAATGTCATAATCAGGCCATTGTTGCATCCAAGTAATATGACTGGTTATTGTACACATCCATACTGTAATAATATATGGCATATTGTGCAGCTCTACCAAACACTTGTTTAATTTTTTTTCACCAGGAATGATTTTTCTTACCTCTGTCTAACTTTTCTGCTTCCAGGAGACGAATACTACTGGAAGCTCATTGCAGACTTCATTGGTCCTCAAACAGGGGAGGGACTAGACCTGAACCAGGGGCTGTGCAAGAACAGACTGATGATCCAAGTTGGACTTCTGAGGGAGGACAATAATTTTCCCTGGCTCGCCATCACAGAGTGGCTGAAGAAGATCTTCCCCGCTCATCAGTCAGCTGACTTCCGCTGTTTGATCGAAAGAGGCATTGCAACAACGCTGAGCCTGGGCATCGAAGCCCGGTTTGCCTTTCTGGATTCAGATGTCAACTTCAACTTTGTTGGCCCAATATGCGACAGTATCGGAGTGGAGCGCCAGCATCTTCTGGAGCTCAGGGATTTTTCAGAGCGGGCACGGTCCATCGAAGTCACAAATGGACTGATTGTCGAGTTGAGCAACTTTGTTGCCAGGGAAAAAATTTCCCCAGTAGTCATTGTTTCCTGGCTAAGAAACTTTAACCCAGAGTACTGTAAGAGTGGGGCCATTCAAAAAGCATACAAGCTCCTTCGGTCCAGAATAAAGAAGCTGAAAATTTACTGCCGCAACTATGAAACAAGGAGTCACAGGAAGAATGCAGCCATTGAAAAAGTGCTTCAGAGTCCGTTTGAACTGGTCCAGAAGAAATCACCAAAACTTTTTGTAAAAAAACGCCCGAGGAGAGAAGATTATGAAAGGGTTACGATCAAAGAAGAAGATGAGTGCTCAGAAATGTCCCAAGGCGAAGGTCCTGAGGTGCACAGGGAGGAAGTAGGAACTGGGCTGCAGAGAGGAAATGCTGAGGCAGGAAGCGAGGATGACGGAAAGACATCCAGCTCTGATTGCGGAGAATTCCTGACCCTGCTGGACATCGCCATGCTGTCCGTCCAGAAGCTGTCCAGTGTTTACGGCGGGAAAACTGAAGCGTGCAAAAGTGTTTCGTTGGATCTGCTGAAGAATCACTACGCTCTGACCTACAAAGAGCATCCAGCCATGGAAGAGTTTGAGAAAAAGGTGAACGGTGTCCGGAAGGAGACTTCCCTCGTGCACCCAGTGGTGTTTTTAAACTACAATGCTAATTACCTTGTTGATCTGCACGATGCGGTGGAGGCACAGATCATGAGCTTTGAGAAGGAGATCATCCTGTCCACAGGAGTGAAACTGGGCCGAGATAATCTTCCCAAATTCAAGAACTTTGTCAGTTTGCCAGAAAGTGCCACGTCACGTTACATCCACATGGCCTGTGATATCCTGAGCCCGATCAGCCCGGAGAAACCGAACTACAGAAAGCATTGGGTGGCATTCTGTGAGGAGAAGGGAAACCCCTCCAGACTCGCTGTGAACCAATCAAACAGACTGAATAATTACTTCGAAGCAGCAGCAGGTCTTATCCACCATCACAAGGAGACGGCTCTCTTCTTTGCAGATCTGCTGTCGATTGCCAACGACCCATGCCCGAACATCATCCTGGAGAGCGTTGCGGCAGACGCAAATGACTCCATGATCCAGAGCTTCGTATGCGTCGTGGCCATAGTTTACTGCAAGATCCTCGGCCCCTACTGGCAGCTCCTGAAGAGCGGAGGAGAATATGCGTTCTTCAGTCAGTTCCTGCTGTGTCTGTACCAAAGGTTCATCGACTGGTCCAAAGATCCCTCCACACTGCTGGCACCAGAGGAGGACAGCAACGTCTTTCTGCAGTTCCCGCTGCAAGAGAAAATCTTCTGCGGGGTGTTTAGCTTCTGTGGCGAGTGGCACACAAACCGAGACCTGATCCGAGCTTGTCTGAAGAGGACCATCAAGGTGATTGCTGCTGTCACTGAGGAACACCTGAAGAACTTTCTACCTGGAGGAATGTTTTCCCAAATTCCTTCCACTGATGTGTGCTTGGAGTTGGTCAGCTGCACGTTCTCTGTCTTGATGGCAGAGTATCCCTTCGGCCATGCGTATCCATACAACAAGAAAAGGCCGGACAAGCTGTCCAAGAACTCCTCAAAAAGCCAGCTGGACAGCTCGCAGGAAGATGAAGGCATATCTGGCAACAGCTCTGATGAAGCTTCGAGGAGCAGAAACGGCTCCCAGTTCGGCCAGAAAGAGGAGCAAAGCCCTCAGACGAGAAAAGGTTACAGAAGAGTCCCTGAGGAAAAGCGGGAGGAGAATGGACAGGGACTACATTATCGCCACAGTGACCAGAAACGGAGGCCCCTGCAAAACCCAGCAGGACATTGAAAAAATGCTGCTACGCTTGGATGGGAAGTCGCGACTGGAGAAACGGGAAGGGCTTCGCTGCGAGATCCTGTATCAGAAGATGGTTCTGAACAACACAAACCCACACCTGGACCATCACTGCCTCAACTCCACCCAGATGGCGCTGAAGCTAAAATTTGCTCTCCCTCGTGTCAAACCTGGATACTCGCTGGTGCTAGCGCCCAGGAAGACCAAGCTGAGGCCCTCCGGTCGGCGCGATGCGGAGGACCGAGCGGCTCCAGCCGCTGGCGCCGGCCTGCTGCCGTCCGGAGAGACGAATCCAGAGTCTTCTTCAGCGGAGGTCGGGATGACCAGCTGAGCTGAAACCCTACAAAGATGTTCCACACTAACACGTTCTGTGTTGGAAATGTGAAATTTGATGCCACTGCATGCTAGCATGGAGCCGCTGCAGACATTTCAGGATAGGAAACCTTGACATTTGGGGATGTTCCCAATTTGCAGTTCAGACTTGTTCTCCTGTGTCAAAATAAATATTGTTTTCTCATTTAAAAAAATGATTTTGTTTAGGTATTTTTTACAGCAATAAAATGTTTTGACACTAAAATTTGGAAGTTAAACATTCATAGAAAGCAAAGCTGAGTAACCATTGGGCAGTGAAGGTTAAGAGCTTAAAGCCGTCTGATTCTCTGACTTGCAGGTAGGAGAGCAACAGAGCCATTTTTAGAAGCGCAGACTGAGACAAGGAGGAAAGCAAGAAGACGGTCTGGACACATCCATTGGAATCGTTTCGAAGTTTTGTGGGAAGACTTTGTAGGATCATTTTGGTGCCGTTGGGATCCGGCATGTGGTTCTGTTGTGATCCCCTCCTGTCACACTGGAGCGGATCACAGCTGCAGGGAGTTTGGGCTCCCTTGGTTGTCCGGGCTCCGAGTAGACCTGCTGCTCCTCGTTCAGGCGCCCTGGGAGGAAACCCAGAGGAAGACCGGGACCATGATCCCCTGCTGGGGGACCCGGGCCTCCTGGTCCAATCCTGCAACCCCAGACTAAGAGGAAGATGAGGGATGGAATCGACTAAAGCAATGTATTCATATTTTTTCCTAAAATTTTGAATGGAATATTATGTATTTTCTCATTTGATTAGGTAATTGCATTACAGCCCCAAACTGCTGAAATTGAAATGTCTGTTCAGATGTGAGTTTCTCTTCCAGTTTCTTTAGAGCCATTAGAATAAATCTGGTTGCTTGTGCTGTTTGCTTTTGCTAATGAAAGTGTTTGAACCGGGTTCTGGACAGCAATAAACCTGTTTCTCTTTTCCTCTTGGCTCTAAAAGCCTCTTCATGTTTCTGGACTTTGGCCGCATGACAGATAAAGAACAACGAGTTCTAGTTATTCAATGATTGATGTGGCTGATGCCTTCACTGCTGTGACAAATGAGATTATCTATGAAACCGGACAAGTGATCCTCAGTGTGCAGAAATAATCTTAATTGCGTTTCAGTTTACATTATGTTGCAATTTGAGCTCATGTGTGATGTACATCGGAATTAAATATATATATTTGTATATATATAATATATATAGTGTTAAAATGCTCCGAATATTAAACGGTAAAGATGCAAAATTGAAGGAAATTTCACTCTGATTGTAAAAGTTCTGAGTGTCCGTGAAGGCAGCAGAAGGGCGGAAACATTGCGCAATAGTCGTCCTTTGCTCAACGTAAGAGCCGCCGCGGCGCGTGGAGGAGCTCCCGGAACCACATTGGCCCAGAGATCCGGTCCGTTCCCCGCCGAACCGAGCGGATCATGGCGGGCGGCTGGCGGCGCGCTGCCGCGGTGAACCACGGCCTGACGGCGCTGTTCGCCATGGGCTCCTGGGTTTCCGTCAACAGCCTGTGGGTCGAGCTGCCAGTGGTGGTCAGAGAGCTGCCCGAAG